TAATTTAAGTTTAATAATAAAACAATTTATTTTTGGTTTAATATTATAAATTTTATAAAAATAATAATTAAGTATTCTGTTAGAATTTAATGATTATACTAATTATATTTTAGATTTTTTATATTTAAAATATGATGTTTATCCCGTATTTAATTGTGTTTATCTACAGTTAGTTACACGAATTCATATATGAATGAAATCGGATAGGGATGAAATCGTTTAGGGATAAACGGGTTTAAGAGTTTTTAAGAGTTTTAGCCAAATATTTTATAAAATAGTATAGATATAGATAAGAATACAATTATTTCAAGTGTATGGCTAAAATCGGATAAGAACCCCATATTCAAAAATCAATACCACCAAGTTAGTGGGATCCACTTGACGGTGGGTTTGGATACACTATTTACGCCAACAACCCCATTTTAGTATATCATATTTTGCATGAAGGACCACTTCTTTATTTCTATATATTCAACTTTTTTTTTTTTTAAATATTTATGAATCTTGAATTTTAAGTAATATGTATTAATATACGATATTTTATGCATAAAAAATGATTTTTAAAAGTTTTTATCAAATGCTTTATAATATAGTATAGATTCAAGTTCTTTTTAGATATTTATTAATTTTTTTTTTTTTCTAAACCCATGTTATAATTTTATATTTTAAGTATTTTTTTAAAGTTGTATTCTTATTCTAATTAAAATAACTCCTCAACTTGAAGTTCCGCCTGTAGAAACAGGGGTCGTAAGCTCGTAGTAGCTGCTGAATTTTCTACTGGTACATAAACAGTTGTGTGAACCGATTACTAAAACATTTTAAATAAATTTTGAAAAATAATTTATTAAACAAGAATATGTTGTGGGAAAAAAAAGGAGGAAGCTGATCAGAAGTGGCATGTAATTGATTGTGATCGTTGGATTAATGCTAAGGCGACCACCTGTTTTGTAAATAGAGCGAAGTCATCGCATTTGAACCTCCGTGATCATAAGGAGATTTTTATTCCTGCTTGTATTTGAACTTGGGATATCCTGGTACTTTTGATCTTTAGAGTCAAGCTTAAACCAATCAGGCACCACTCTTGTGGTTCAATAAGCTAGTTTATGTTCATCAAAAGATGTGCCCAACAAATAAACTACTTAATTTTTTTTCCAAACAATGTCTAAACTGATTTAGTTGATGTTTGCTCGAGTTTTTCTGATTAATTACTCATCGTATAACTATTAGCAGCATACTTTTTAGGCCGTTTGCAGGTCTCTATCATATATAAGAATCTTGCGATGTCCAAAAAATCATGGTATATCTTTATATTTTTATCCATTACTTCACTAAAAGACACTAAATACGTAAGAAAAATCAAATACCACATTACAAAATTGTGTATTGACCCATGCATGCCATAAGCTTTAACGTTATCGTGTCATACATGAACCTTGAGTCACGGCGTGCCATGACGGCTGTTGTGTTAAGCTTTTTAGATCATTGATTTCTATTTACTTTCATTTTTAGATTTTTATTATTAAAGGGTTTTTTTTATTGAGGAATGTGAAACATCAATCAGTTTATGTGATAAATAATCTTTTTAATACAAGGCCACATTTTTCGAGATTAATGTTTCATATTGCTTTTCAATTAGAATAAATCGACTTGATGTTCATAAATAGTTCCTATAGGGTGTGTTTGGTGTCTAGACAAGACATGATAGGACAGAACAATTGTTCAACATTTGGTAAGATATAACTGAACAGAATAGAACAAGTAAAATGGTCAATTTAGCCTTAATGAGTTGTTCATTTTAATTATTTTATGTAATTTATTAAATTATAATAAATATTTTTTATATCAGAATATATCATTAGAAAGTTTTCATCAAAACAATTAAAATGACACCAAATAAAAAGTTTATGTAGTTTCCAACTACTCTTTTCTACATTATTTTTTATTAATGATATATCTATATATATATATTTATACTATTTTATAAAATAAATTTAGCAAAAGTCTTAAAGTCTTAAAATAYTAAATAACCAATATACCCTTTATACACTTTTTCATCCCCTCCTCTCACATGCACTCACCCCCTCATATACACTCACCATCTCACAACCGATTTTTTTAAAATTATAATTTTAAATTTATACTTTATACCCCTATAATTAGTTAATTAATTTAATTTACATCCTTTACTTTTAAATGTTTCATTTTAAACATTTATCGAATTAATATACATAATCGTATATCAATTAAAACATGTTTAAAAAAATACATTTTTATTTTAACAAGTTACACCATTATAATCGTCTCTTTAATACTTCGAAATGAGTCCAATATTGAATAGTTTTTGACTTAATTATATTATTATATATACTGTGAAAAAATATTTTTAATATTTACGATTTATACTTTTATAGTTATTTATATATATATATATATATATTGTATATTTTGGGATTAGGCTGTCCAAATTGCACTATATAATATGTTCTTGGGTTTTTTTGAAATATATATATATATATATATATACATATGTATTAATTCAACCTTAATCTGAGTTTTTGGACAAGAAAGAGAGTAAACAATTGAAATTTCATTCTAAAACTCATCTTTTTTGGTCTTTTCATGGCTTATGATATGTTAAATTTGTAGTTTTCTTTATTGGTTTTGAATGTTTATCTTAAAACTCAAGTTTCTTGGTTCTTTGCTCTTGGTGTAAATCGAACATATTTGTGGAGTCGTTTAAATATATTGGATTTTAAACTATCATACAATTTTTTTCATCGATAATCTGTAATTGGAACCATAACTCTTATTTATTCAAATTGTATTAATATGTAAAGACCAAATGTAACCTATATCATCGTTAAATTTTATCTTATAAAACCAATGAAACTTCAAAATTGTTAAACTTCATGGATCCCGCCGCATTGCGCGGGGTACACAACTAGTAATAAATTACATAAATTAATAAAAATATAGAAGCCGTGTAAAAATAATATTTTGAGAATAGTAAAATGAAAGTTTATAAACATAAAATACAATAAATAAAATTTAAAGAATGAATAAAATGTAAAAAAAAAAAAACTATTTGATGTTTTATAAGAGAATTAAGTTTTATTTTGAGATTATATCGACAAAATATAAGTTTGTTTCACTCTGTTCCATGGGGTAGGGGTGGAACATGCATGTTCCACTTTATTTCACTTTGTTCTTGTCTGTTCCACATAAAAATAATGCCAAACATGGAACAAAGATCTCTGTCTTGTTCTGTCTTGTATTGTCTAGTGTACCAAACGCACCATATGGAACATGAGAGTCCAATTAATCTGCTTCACTTTACTATCAGTCTATCTTTTTGAAATATTTTGGTACTCAAATCATTTTTTTATCAAAACGGAAATAGTCTTTTAGCATTCTTACCATGTTTTTTATTAAAACAATAAAATTTACATTTCTTTTTTCAGTTACAGGTCATAAAAACTATAGACCACCAATTAATGCATAAGTTGATCTTTAAAATGCAAGAACAACAAATACTTTGGATTAAAAACATTATTTCAAAATCTTTGACCAAAATGGAACATTTTAATTTCGAATTATAAATCATCTGATTTATGATTTAAAATCACAACAAAATATAAAATTAGCATCAAAAGAAACAGAGAATAAAACAAAATTTGAAACAATATTGTCGTTTCAGGTTGTCAGCTTCATAATCAAAATTATTTGCACCACATCATATTGGGTACGTTGCTAGTTAATTATAAGAAAAGGAAAAAAAAATTGGAATTTTTTTATTGGTTAGTTTAAGGGACCGTTTACCCAAATGTTTATCCAGTAAGCGTTTATCGATAAAAATCAACACTATCATTTATTTTGATGCGTAAGATTTTAGTACATCAAAACATATAGAATGCAACAATTTACTCGTTAAGCGCTTATCTGGGTAAGAATCGCCTACCTCACTTACCGGGTAAGACTCTTCATCCTTCTCGTCACTCTTACCCGGTAAGATTCTTGGTCCTCATGTTCATCCGATGAGAAAATTTATCCGATAAGTACTTACCAAGTACGTGTTTAGTAAACGGCCTCTTACCCAGATAAGCGTTTGATAAACAACCCCTAAAACGGTGTACATTCTACACTCTATATCTTATCTTTATATGGGATTTATTACAAATATAATGTAGTCTTACAAAAGAATGAAATGGCCAACACTTGATCTTTGAAATTGTAAATTGTATTTATTGTATATTTTTTTATATTTTAATTAAAATCTGTGTTGTTGAAATAAATGTAACTCGGTGACTCACTGAAATATGATGTTACTGGGTGTGGAGTAAATCCAGAGTAATCTTTCTCCACCTTTGCTTTGCATAACTTCATAATGCGATTCATTAGACTGTCTGTTTTTTGAGCAAAAGGTTGAGCTGCAACTTCCTCCAATGGCATCCACTGCACAAGAATATCTTATCACATCAGCATCATATACTAGTAAAGGGTCGTTTACCCAAACGCTTGACCGATAAGGTCCACATATAAGAAACAGATAAACAAGTCATAACGCTGAACTGACGCCGTTTATCAAACGCTTAGGTAAGCGTGTACAGGTAAGCGCTTACCGAGTGGCACTTACCTTACCCAGTGAGCATGGCAAGGACCAAGAATCGTACCCGATAAGTGAGGGAGAAGAGTCTTACCTGGTAAGAGCTTGCCGGGTAAAAAATGCTTACCAACAATCTATTTTGATGACCGAGAATGTTACCCGATAAGGTAAGTAAATGTGTGAATTCTGCTGGTAGTCGCTAAGGGTTTGGTAAAGGGACCTTTTAAGTGCCTTGATAGTTTGATGTTTGATTGAAGCTATCCCTTTTTGTTTCACCTTTTACCTTAGAAGCAACTATCATGTTCCTAACTATGGCATTTCTTGTAACATGAATTGCACAAGAATGAAAAGGAGGAAGCAAGGTTGATAGATTGGAAAGAAGATAACTCACAGCCCTATAGGGTGCGTTTGGTAGGACCAAACGAGACAGGATTGGATGGATGAGTGTAAGGTAGGCAGGTGAAAGAATTATACAAGGTTTTATAGTTCTAATTTGACATGGGTAGTTTAGTAATTTACCAATCTTGTCTCGATCTCCCTGATTTTTGTTCCACCTATTTTGGTGGGTCTAAAAAGATGCATTTTTGTCCCAGTCAAAATGTAGCACCAAACATGGGACAAGTTTTTGTTCCGTCATATCCCGTGTACCAAACACACCCTATGTTCATCCGAGCTTCACAGAGTGTTTAGGCCTAAGGTTGAACTATTTCCATACTCCCTCCTTTTGCGTGCTATTGGCCAAACGAACGAGAGGAACGACAGATCTGATATATAAACAAGAGTTGGGAAAATTTCATTCATTTGTATTCTTTTCTTTACGACACTGCATCTGTTAATGATCTCAGGAAAAGAGTTAAACTACTGTGTACAATTAACACAAGCCAGTACCTGGGCTGCCTCAATTTCTAGTTCTTGAATCTGGATGTCAAACGATAGTGGGCGCATCATGCACACAAAGAATAAATCTGATTTCCCAAAGAATGCCTTGTGCGATTGCCTGTCATTTGGATCAACTTGTATGTATAAAAATATAGCATATATAACAACAGCTACAGCCTTTAAAATAGATTCAGTAATTTCATTCAGGAGATGAGGCTCAAAAAGTGATTATGTATACCTGAATGCTAGTACTTCGACGAATTCTGTATCGATCTGAAACAGGTTAAATCATCAGAACATTATGTAACAGTTGAAATGTCACAGATATTTGGCATGATATCAATATGCAGACATGGGCTTAACACTTACTCCCGTCTCTTCTACGACTTCTCTGATCACCCCTGCAGAGATATCCTCACCCTGTAGATTGAACTCTATAAGTGTCTTGGAAAAAGGTATGTTGGCAAAGTAATGAACAACCTCCAAAAGCCATACCACTTCAACAATTCCGGTAGGAATCTTCCAGATACCAGTTCCTCGTAATATCCCACTCTTCTCCTGGACAACAAGCATCTATAAACAAAAAAAGGGCAAATGTGGTCTCAGAACAGAAAACCATCTAGTCACCTGAAATAAACATCTAAATACACATTTTGGGATGCATGAGGATTCTAGAGTTGCATGCTAGTTATAAAAAGGGTATGCTCGAATGGTTCGGCTCGGCTCGAAAAATTGAATTGAGTTTTCGAACGAGCCGGAGTCGAACATTAGTGTTATAAAGCTCGGCTCGTTAAGTCAAACGAGTTTTATTTTGTGTTCGAGGTCGACTCGAGCTCGAGAATTATTAAAATCGAGCTCGAGGAGCTCGTTAAAAACTCGAACCATTTACCTATTGTGGAGATAGTGTTTGGAAAGATATGCATTACTAGTATTACAAGAGAGTTCAGTGGATTTCTTTTGGTTTATTCATGACTTCATAACCGACCTACTTGTTTTGAGGCTCTGCCTCCTCTCAACTTCTTGTAACAGTAGTCTAAATACGAATTACTATTCAGGTATTAGGCAAAGAACTAGCCTTGTTCAACAAAACTAAATTAACAAGTTTTGGATGAATAAAATCATCTCACTAGAACTGGAGTTGAATGAAAAATGACCGTTTGATAAGTTTCCATATGATGATCATATGCAACTTCAGTACTCCTAATCTACAAAAAGAAAGGAAAAAAAAAACTTATGCCCAAGAATAATTACATTATTATTTATCTTATAAGTTATAATAATGCTTTCCTATTTTTTTTATGATATATCCCCTTCCTTGAACTTCCTCCCTTTACCGTCGGTGATACCAGGCAGGGCAAATAGGTAAAGTACTAAAATAGTTCTTAGAAAACTTCCACTCTATTCAATGACATCTGGATAAGTTGGTGACACTACTTTTCTTCTCCATTACTTGCATCATAGTAATATGACTAGACAGAGATGGGCCTAATTTTTTTTCAAGTAGTGGCACCATTTGATTATAAGAAACAAAGATATGGATATTTAAAAAAAATGATGTATTGGTTAGTTCTTTGTTTTTCATATGTGAGGTCATGTGTTCATGTCTTTTACACACAAACGGGATTCGAACCTGGCTCTGGGGTGGAAGAAAAGTCATGCAAACCAATTCTATTAATGGAAACTTATGTAACCATTGTAGTTTCAAAATATAATACAGTTGCACAAAACAAAATGATACGATAGCACATTTCATGACCCTATAATTTTTTTACACTACAACGGAGAAATGAAGCGGTAGCCCGTGCCACCGTATCTATTAAAGTGGGTCCGCCCATGTAACTATATATGTTGGTATCTCATATCAATGTGACTGAATATTTTGTCTGTTTTGAGAACATCACTGCTCCCTACTGGTTAAATTCGAATGCTTTGCTAGCTCAAACTACTGTTTTGTTCAGTTTCAGAAAATCATAACACCGTTTACATGTTCCGAAGTTAGTAAAATTTGGCAAATTAAAGAACCATTGATGGATAGCTTCACTAAACTATGCATGTCAGGAGATGACAGATCATGTAGCATTAAACAATAATATACCTATAGTTTCAGGTCTAATGATCAATATAAAGCAACATAGCAAAGCGAACAAAAGTATAAAACCAACAATAGAGATATGGGGAACTAGACCATAAAATAAATTAATGGACAAAACACCATGATAGTTTGCTGGAAAAATGGACGCTGAAATATACCTCTTGTTTATCATTCAAGACAATAGCACCAACACCTACTCTGTGAGAAGCATTTAAAGGGAGTGTACTTGTTGTTTTAGGAATCCAATTAACGAGCATTAGGTAATCAGGTTCAGCATGGTGATACCAAAAACCCTCCTGCCGATAACACAAAGTAATTCAGGAAGTGAAAATAATTTAACATCATGAAAATGCTAGATATAACAATTTAATCACCACACTAAGATCATCTATAGCCTAACATAGTACATTATCAGTTTCTGCACATAACATTATCCAAAATTTGCAAGAATCCCCAGCCAAACATATTTATAGTAGTACAAGTATGAGTTACCTTCACTGTAGTTTCGACAAGATTTGCAAGATGGATTGGCAGTTTGATCCAAACACCCTTCTTGCCCTGTCAAAACCATTCCAAAATTAGTATGATACAAAGAAACTCAATAGCATACTATAAAAGGAACTTTCATGTATCATATATGAAACATTTAAGTGGCTAACACCATTAAGCATAAACATATAAAAAATTAAGTAATTGTTATGGAGACTTGTATATTAGCAACAGATTTATAGTTTTGGTGTAGCGAGGTCCATTCCTTGTAATATGGCATGACATAGGCGGCTAGTAAAAACACCTAACAAAGTGTTATGAAAAGAAATAGTATCTGCTATACCCCAAGTTAAATAGTCAATAATGGTAATTTGGTCAAAAGGTCTGGATTGATAGGCTGTGGTAGAAAAGTACAAGTAATTTGTGCTTTGGTACAAGTGGGCAATGCATGGGTTATGGGTAATAAGTCTGTGGTATTAAGTATAAACAAGGGGTGTGGAAGTGAGGGGGATTCATTCTGTTTTGTGTTTTCAGTATAGGAGAGCGCCTTGGGAGAGTATTGTCCTCTCGAAAGCCAGAAACCAAACTGTAACCATTTGATTTCCCATTAATCATTTGATTTCATTTGCAATTCCATCCTATTTCTTTCAGTGTATATCAGTATCATCTGAAGCAATGACTTAACAATAAATTGCTAGGAACCGTCCCCAGCTGTGGACATACATTAGTAGTTTTGCTAGTTGTAGCCTCCAAAACACAAATATGGACCTAAGCATTCTTGTTCAATAACTCAAAACACTTGTCGATTTACTATTCAGAAATATGCGGATCACTAAGTTCATACTGACTGCATTCATTTCTACTAACAGAGTTTCGTATCCTTTGGAGTTGCATTTTGTTATGTCCGTTTTAAACACATGAAGAGTCCCCTAAGAAGTTTATGCAGCTCAATCTGAATCAGGTTGAAAAAAATAAGAACCCAGCAAAGTTTCTATTCACTAGGAGTTCAATAAGCAAAATAACATGTATACGACAAGGAAAAGATAAAAACATTCCACATAAAACAGGGAATGGATTAGAACCTGCAATGTCCACTGTGACATTGAAGTTTTAAGGAGTGTGAGAAAGACATCAGATTCCATATGCTCCTTCAGCTCTACCACCACACCTCCATATTCATCACAGATTGCAGGAAGTAGTTGGACCCTTTCATCGCAATTTCCGATTGTCACTTGCTCCATGATACCACAATTGATGCAAAATTGCCGGTTCAATCCAAGAGCTAGTGAACAACACGGTGGCCATATAATCTACCAAATCTTAGCATATACAAGGACAAATAACTCGATGTAATGCTTCTTCCACTCTCCATCTCAACTTAAAATTGTAATGTTTCAATATCAAGAGCAAACGAACAACAAAACAACTCGATATATAACGATAGGGCATCGAAAGAGGTATGAACTAAAGTACTAGACCAACTATTCAATCAAAAGTCGTAATCAGATACCTTGAAAAACTGGAACAGATGCAACGAATATCTACCTGTACGATGATAACAAGAAGGAGAGAAGCCTTCTAAATCGCGATGGAACAGTGGAGAGTTAGGGTTACGAAGCTGACATCAGTAGCTATTCACCAAACTCGATAACCGTTACTGCGACCAAAAACTCTATCCTGCGCCTGGTCCACTGGATCACCGCCACCCAATTTGTAAACCAGATCCGCCCGACTAAGGGGGTGTTTGGGATTGCTTATTTAAAACAACTTATGCTTTTTTGTAAAAGTGCTTGTTAACTTATGTGGTATCAAACTGGAGTTTTGTAAAAAGTGTTTGGATTAGCTTATAATGGTACCAAAAAGCAATAAGTTGATAAGTTGGTTTTTAGTGTTTGGCAAATTTGGCTTATAGATGTAAAATTACCAAAAAGCAATAAGTTGATTTTGATAAGTCAGGAGGGATTGACTTATCAAAAATGACTTATTACCGGTTTGGTACCGGAATAAGCACTTTTTTTTTTTTTACCCAAACACTCCAAAATGACTTATCTCCGGTACCGAACTGAAATAAGTTAATAAGTCATTTTGAAAAGCTTACCCAAACACCCCCTAAATCTACGGTCCAAGTTTAACGTCGTTTGCTCACGTGACACCCGACCAACCGCATTGCATTACATTTGTACTGTTAATGCATGCGTGATAACGTATTTATCTAGAAGATCCCCAGAGCAGCTATTTTTTTTTTTTAATCTTTTTTCCTCTTGTTAATTTTTTAAAATAATGTAATCTTTTTTATAAATAATATTTATTTATAAATTAATGGGCTGTCTGCCAAACGCTTATCCAGGTAAATGTTTATCAAGTAACATTATCCTATAGAATGAATATGATAAGTATCAAGAATCTTACCCGGTAAAAACAAAGACAAATTCCGAAAGTCTTATCCGGTAAGTGAAACCGATAACTCTTACCATGGTTAGTGTTTACTGGGTAAATTATTGCATTCGATACTATTTTTGTGGATTAAAATCTTACAGGGTAAGTAAGTCATAATGTTGAATTTTGCCGATAAACATTTATCCAAATAAGCGTTTGGTAAACGGTCCCTAACATGGTTGTGAGAGAGTGAATTTTTTTTATTGTTTAGGGTAAATTAGACTGAATGTCCTTACGGTTCGCTTAAAAATTTGGATATGATCGTCTAAACGTACCATTTACATTTGTGGTCCGTAATTTTTTCATTTTTATATCACCCACAGTCTCTCGAATTAATACAGTTAAATAGTCTGTTAAGGTTGAGACAATATAACTTTTACATGAGGGCAATTTAGTCATTTTAACTCTTTTTTTCTTTTTTAAAAAGTAACTTAACATTAAATATTATATATAATAAAATAAACTAATATTAGATCTCAAACAAAGTCCCCCACTCTTATTCCGTTGGTGAAAGCCCACTAAATCCCGATCCGTTTGCACCCATCTTCGTTTGCCGCTGTCCAACGTCACCTCTGCCTCCTTCTTTGGCGCTGGCGTTGCACGCCTACTATCTTCACACATCTGGGTTTGGTATCAATGACGACTAGATGCGGCCATCAATTTGTTATGAGCAAACAACATGGATCTTCAGTGTAATTATAGTCTACTGTTTTTTTATTAACTATATGTATTTATTTTGCGATATTAGTAGAGCTTAACACTTATAAAATATTAGAATTTATTATGAACTATATTTCATGTAAATATACTAGTGACTGAAGGTATGAAAATGAACTTAAGAGAATTGAATGTACATACATACATGTAAACGTATTTACTTGTAATATTGAGTTTTAAGTAATATACATCAATAAGTAGTACTTCATATGTAAAATATGATTTTTAAGAGTTTTTTTTTTGCCAAGTACTTTATAATATAGTATAGATAATATAGATGATGACAGATAATACATCTTCAACTGAGTGTATAAAATAAAATAATTGAATTTTTTTCTGCATCAATTTTTTGTAAATTGTCATTTTCCAACAATCGAGCATACAAATTTTGTATGTGACTTCTTATATAAAATTGTAATTGAGCATGTTTTTATGTATTACATATTTATCATGGTTAATTCTTGATATTCATATAAAATGTTTTTCCGAAGCTGATTTTATATACACTAGAAGGGTACTTGTGCAATGCAGCGAGATACATCTTCATTTTAATGTTTTATTTTATTTTTTTGTCTATGTTGATATAATACGGTTTATGTGGTTTTAAGAAAGATAATGTTTTTACTTTTGAATAAAAATAAATTTGAAGATATCATAAAAATTTGAAACAATACATCGATATTAATATCAAATTAACAAATTTAAAAGTCCTCGGTTTTTTGCACAATTTCTTTAATTCAATTTTTATTATAATTTAATTTAAGTTTAATAGCGAAATAGTTTATTTTTAGCTTAACAATATAATTTTTATAAAAATAATTATTATGTTAGAATTTAATAATTATCTTAATTATATTTTAGATTTTTAATATTTAAAATGAGATGTTTATCATATATTTGATTATTTTTATCTGCAATTAGTTTTACAAATTCAAAAATTGAGCTTTAATAAGTCGTACTTACGCACAATTTACTTGCAATATTAAATCTTAAGTAATATACATCAATAAACAGTACTTCATGCACATAAAATAATTTTTAAAAGTTTTTGTCAAATGTTTTATAATATAGTATAAATTTACTACCAAACATGACTTTAACTAGACAATGTCACTTACATTTTTAAAAATAGTTCAGTTTTAGTTGCCTTTTTACTCATCAAACAAGATAAAAAGAACTAAAAGAAAAACATATCAAAAGGGTCAAATGATTCGGAAGTTGTCTAAAATGTATGTAAATGTTGCAATTTCTTACACGATCTCTCGTTCCTTCGTCGGTGTCATTTTATGAATCAAGATACGTGTGTTTATTATTGTTCGATAATGTCTTCTTAATACAAAAAGGGTATGTAGCTAGCCCGAGCATGATAGAAGCGAGTTTGAGAGGTTGAGGGCGCGAAAGTGTTGACGGCTAGCAATTTAGGTCATCGGAGTCCTACGATAGAGAGAGGGTTAAATACTGTTCCTTCTATGTTTTTGCTTACTTTTACACAATCGAAAGGTTTTACAAAAACAACCAATGTACTGTTTAAAACAAATGATAAGCAGTCATACATCCAACTAAGGGATCCCCATAGGCATGACAATGGGGCAGGAATGGGGCGAGTTTTCTAATCCTCGGCCCCGGTTTCTATGAACGGCCCCCGGTTTATTTTCTAGTCAAACCCCGATACTCGTATCCAGTCAAGACCTAATTTTTAGAAAATAAATAATATACACACACATATATTATGTAAAATTATATACCGGGTACGAGATTGGTCGGGGAATATGCTACCCGGTACTGGCCCCGGCCCCAACCCCGGTTTGTCTACCTGGGATCCCGACCCCATTCCCAGGACCCGTTTTAACAAGGAATCTCCATCCCCGTTTAGATCCGATGAGCCAGATTCTCCACCAGGTCGGACAAATCATCATCCCTAGATCCCACATTATATATATATATATACAAGGTGAATCTTGATTTCCATTTTGGATAGAATTTTCTTGGGACAAAAGAATCTTTTAGTTATTTAGCTGAATTAACTGTTTCATTGATCTTTTAGCAAAAAAAGTGAACTTTTTTAAAAGGGTAAACTTATATATATATGAAAGCTAAGAACATAGAGAACCCATGTTCCCTGTTATTTTAACCTTTGGGGTTCTCCTGTAGAGAGCCCATGACAAAGTGAAGTACAGGAGCAACCTGTTCATCTTCTTTTTACTCCATTGATCCGCTCCTTTTCAGGATCGATCTCATTCAAACCAGAAAAGCCATCATGTCTCTAGGCTATGCAGAAAAGCTCTCTTACATAGAGGATGTTGGCAATGTCGGAATGACAGAAATTTTTGACCCGCCTCATGTATTACAGGAAAAGGTTTGATTCTTCATCCATTTCCATAAGTCTATGATTACATGCTTTGTAATGTATTTTCGTTGTTGTTGCTAATCTTAGTTTGCAACTATGATGATCTTAATCGATTGATGTGCTTATGAGAGTTGCTTTCTTGCTTAGGTTTTTGTGATTGAAGTTTAGTTTGAGGTTAATTGTTGAAGAAGATCAAAGTTTTGGCGTGCATTGATGGTTGAATTCATTTTTGTGTTGCTTGTAGAGTCTTGAATTAGGGTTACTAAAATTTATCTATAATCAATTGTGCATTGATGTTTCCATGATCGACTTTGATTGGGATGAGGGAATTTTTTAGGGATCATGGTTTCGTATGCAGCCAATAGGCCCATTGATTATTCATCAGTTCTATTTTACAGTTTTTAGCTAAATGCGCCTAAATTTAGGGTCTGAAAGTTGATTTCATAGGGAATTTTTTTGGAAGGGTGTCTTAGGCTATGCCCGGACTAATCTCAACAATTTTTGACCATAAGAGATTAGCCCTGATAAACTCAGTGGCCATAGTTGTCGTGGACCCTGGGCAGATGGGATATTCCACCACATCCACAACCATTGTGGTTCTCATGGGGATTGATGGCACTTGAAATTTTAATTTTTACAAGTAAAGTGGTCATTATGAATCACAAAATGAAAGCATTGGCTAAGAACTTCTCTTGTAGGATATAGTATACTGAAAAGGCATGTAAACTTTACTTTGGGGGAACAATAAAAAAGAAATAGAAAATCCCATTTGTCTATGAAGCATTCTATGCTATTAGGCCTCATATAAAAGATGGAATTGGGGCAGTGATATGAACTTGTTATGTACACATAATTGATTGTGCTGTGATGTGGGCGGTTTTTGAAGTGATAATGTCGGGTTGTTTGGATATGCTTGCTATTAACACTCGTGTATTTGCTTCATTGCATTGGCAGATTGAACGGCTTACCATGATGATTCGGAAGGTTTGCTTTGATGATATATGTTTCATTTATGGTGTATAAGCCTTCACTCAGTCTCTCTCAAGTCTCAACTTAAGTTTTACACCATTTTCATCTTACTTGCAGAGTAACCATTTAGTCGTGTTTACTGGAGCTGGGATATCAACTTCTTGTGGTATACCTGATTTTCGTGGCCCCACAGGAATTTGGACACTTCAGGTATATATTTTCAAACCTTCTCCCTTCATGTTCTGTGAGAGACAATAGTATATTGTCTGATAAAACTAAACCAAATGAACCCGGTGTATCCCATCCGAAGGCAGGGTCTCGGGGGGGGGGGGGGGGGGGGGGGGGCGTGCACGCAGACCTGACCTCTACTCTCAAAGTGTAGAGTGGTTGTTTCGTGAAGATCCCGGTTTGTGAGAAGTATGCGAAATAGATAGAAAGTTTCCCCAAAGAAATAGAGGGAATAACAAAAGGTGAGGGTTCGGAAAAGAAGAACCTGATACAAGAAAACAAGAGATGATTGTCCTATATGGTTACCTGATGTTTAAACATGGATGAATTGATTCACACTTTCAGAGCAATAATCAGTGCCAACTAAATGGGCCAAACCCATAAATAACCATAGAACTTTTTAGGAAAATAACAATAAATCTAGCATACTGTGAATAAAAGTGAATTCAACATGCTTTTCCGTTTGAAGAATGTCTGTCAGTAATGGTAGCTGTGGAGCAGTCACATTGGGGCACTTTAATGGATTTGTTTCTGCTCACCATTTTTTTTATGGTTACGAGCCGTTATTCATACAAAATCGTTTATGTAATCCTGTGCCTAGTTATGTAATTTGAGGAACACACTTATAAGCCTATCATGTCACCAATATGTGGTCTCTGTTTGGTGGGAACCAATGGGCAATTATGTTTTCTCTTTTGTAAGCCTTCTTTGGTTACAGACTGGGTTGGATCTGAGATCTGATTCATCAACACGCACACCCTTTCTGAAACTTACCATGGACAGTCTTGTTGAAAGTTGGATTAATGTTACTCAAATGGTTCTGTTAATTATTGGTTTGATTGAAATGCAGCGGGGAGGCAATGCCTTGCCAGAAGCATCACTCCCATTTCATCGGGCGATGCCAAGCATGACCCATATGGCATTGGTCGAACTAGAGAGAGCTGACATTCTTAAATTCGTTATTAGCCAAGTAAGAATCACGTGCTTCCTTTTCTTATATATAATCTAATCTATTGCCATTTTATTGTCTTAAAGTCTTCATAAGGGACTAGTATCTATAACTCAAAGTGTTGTTAATATGTCTATCTATAACTCAATGTACTTGTAAGCCGAAAGGTTTCAATTTTGAAAATATAAAGCCATACACTCTATTCGAAATATAACATCATCCAATCTAATAAACCATGTGTTATCAAGCATGCCAACTTTATGCTCACTGCTGTTAAATTACAGAACATTGATGGCCTCCATCTTAGATCTGGAATTCCAAGGGAAAAGTTGTCAGAATTGCATGGGAATTCCTTCATGGAAAGATGCTCTTCTTGTGGTGTTGAGTAAGATTTCATCCTATTCTGCTAATACATTGTTTTTTTGGGTTTTAACTTTTAATATTTCACTCGATTTGTCCAACTTATTTGTGGGCTTCCGTTATAACTTGTGCTCACGTAAGAGTGTCGGCCATAAGTCTTTTCACTTATTCTGCATTCTTCATCAAGCTTTCGAAACTGGTTTCTTAGAAGCAATTTTATAATTTTGACCTGGAAAGGTACTTTCGAGACTTTGAGGTTGAATCTGTCGGACTGAAGGAGACATCACGAAGGTGCTCCAATGCAGATTGTGATCTTAAACTTAAAGACACAGTTCTTGATTGGGAGGTATTCTCTTAACTAATGGCATCTTCTTATTTGCTACACTTGACACTAGACTTGTTAGCAAATTGAAGTGATTACTATAAAAATTTTGGTTTTCGTTTAAGCTTATGGTACTAAGTTATATGCGGTGCAAAACTAGCTTTAGATGGATGAATTTGATGCAAAAAGAGGAACATAATTTTTTGTATTAAATTATGAAATAGAATGCCATGTTAGAATCATCCTGAGAGATTGTCATGAGCAATGATCGAGGAAATATTTTATAGGTAATCATCATCAATTTATCATCTAGACCAAAAACTTTACTATCACTACACTTGGAAGCGCATGGAAGATAAAACATCTAATCCTACAATGCTCTGTGTGTTCTTGTAGGATGCATTGCCCCCCGAAGAGATGAATCCAGCAGAGGCACACTGTGAAAAGGCTGATGTGGTATTATGTTTGGGAACGAGGTAATCGTAGTATTATATACCTGACTATACCATATATATAACCTCTCTATCTTTGTACCATTGTTAAAACATCTAAAACGGGTATGTGTTGCTTGGGCATTTTGAAGTATGATGGGTAGGAGTGTAAAAATATGAGTATTATGTAAACCAAACCAAACGGAAAAAACCCAATAAATCTGCTATACACTAATGCAAATTGGTTGGATTACTTGAATTAGCCGAATGTACAATTTCCACAGGCTTTGGAGAGGCCTCGGACTCTACCAAAAACGGTTTCCCGCTCAATTGAGTTGATAAAACAGATGTCTTCTCCTAACCTCTCCTCTATTTAACAGACTTCTTAAAGCGATTTCCCCTATTTACCCCTATACAACAGACTACTAAAAATTTCCTATAATGCCCCTGCACACCTAACTGCTGCTGTTACATCTTTATTAAGTTATTACCACTACTACCCTTTCTCCCCTAGCATATGTATCTAATAGCAGCATCCAGGGTATAACAAAATCCAGCTTGAAAGCAGGGTCTGGAAGGGGTAAGATGTACGCAGACTTGACCTCTACCTCCTGAGGATAAAGCGGCTGTTTTCAAGAAACCCCTCGCTTGTTCGAAAGTATAAATATAATTGTATTTCATGTAAATTGAAAATTCGCTGTCATGATATGGGCATATGATGTCCTGTTTCTTGCTTCTTGTTTGGGAACATGAGTATATTGGTAATTTCTACTCAAAGCAGTTTGCAGATTACTCCTGCATGCAATTTGCCTCTGAGGTGTCTTCGTGGTGGTGGCAAGGTTGTTATTGTGAATCTTCAGGTATTCCTTTGTTCCACTTTGTTAGTATTAGCACAACTTATCTTCTGTTCTGGATTGACTCAACCCGCCTTTCTTATTCTTTTCGTTTCATTTTCTTTTATTTTTATCAAATTCTACAGAAAACTCCGAAAGACAAGAAAGCAAATCTGGTCATCCATGGATTCGTAGACAAGGTGGTGTATGAAAACAAAACCCTTTCTTATGAAAATTGACTTTCTTCTATACCTTTGTGTCTTGAGAAAAATTATAAATCTATTTGCTAAATAGTAAAGGTGGACTAGTGGCTTTTCTGATAATTGTAGCTGAAAATCATCCCATAGGACTTAGGAGTACAACTATCACAAATATTTTCTGGTTAATTCGATGTAAATCCACCCTTTTATCATGGATATCAATCAATGCAGGTGATTGGTGGAGTCATGGAGCTTCTCAATATGCGGATTCGCCCATTTGTCAGGATAGATCTTCTCCAGACCGTTTTAACTCAGGCGTTAAGCTTAGGTTATTTCCCTTCTTTTCTTTTCCTTTCTTGAGAAAAAAATTTGCATCACACATTATCTGTAACAACTCCTCCCACATCGATAGATAATGGGATCTGTGAGCTCCTTATAAGCCTCAAGTTGTGGGCTACCAATAACTTTGCTATGGTTTTAAGTTGGATTCGAAGTTATTGGGTCAGCCTGTTGCTTTGGGGTGTTGCAATATCCATGATCGTTCTTTTTGACAAATTATGTTCAGAAAATCTAAATGTTCCATTTCCTTTTAGATAAGAGATATGTCAACTGGACACTCCGAATAGCAAGTATACATGATAAGAAGGCGCTACTTCCATTCATCAAGTCTGTGGAGGTGAGCCAATCTTGAAAGCTATTTTCTTTTAACGGATGCTGAGTTTCTTTCTTTTAAGTTATCTTTTCTGTTTCTAGTAAACCAATCTTGATATGCTCAATTGAACCTCTAGATCAAATACCGATTGCACGTATACAAATTACCAAGTTGTAAAGATTTCAAACACGACTGTAAGCTTTATGACTTAAATATTAAGCCCCCTGCTAAAGCTTGTTAGAATGTGTTTTAATGTATGTAGCTAAATATTTTAACATTTATAGACCATACAAAAAAGGGTTTATTTTTTTAAGGTATTTAGCTGCATATTTAAGCATTTCTAGACCATATAAAAACAACACATCTTCAAAAAATTTAAGAATTGACACTTCGGCACTTTTCACAAGCCGGGGTCTTCATAGAAACAACTGCTTTGCTCTTTGGGGGTAGAGGTCATGTTTCCTTACGTGGGATATACTGTGCTCGTTTGATTTGGTTTCCACTTCGCCACTGATATTTACGTCGTATCATCTATGAAACCAGTGGCAGACTCAAAATTTTCGACGAGCAGATGCACCTTTAAGGTGGATTAGAGGCCCACAAAGTCGCCTGATGTGTTTTTAGCTGAATTCCCTTATTTTGAGGGAACATTTCAGTTTTTTTGGTTGATTTTGAGGAATTTTTTAGTTTTTTTGTTGATTTCGAGAGAATTTTTAGGTTGATTTGGAGGGACTTTTTCAGTTTTCTAGTTTTCTGATTTGTGCACATGAAATTGCATTTTAGGTTTCTTTTTCAGATAACCAGCCCATGAAAGAGGCTGTTCTAGATAAGCACCCTTTTCAGCTTAAAAGGTACTATTCAACATTCTTTTATTGTTTTATGAATCCCGCCTTCATTTCTTCTCGCACCATATCAAAATCACCCACAAAAATGAAATGTTAAATGGCCATAACAGTTTCAAGATCGAGTTGTAAATAATACGTAAAGATAAATCGTCTACTGTGGCATTATGTTCATGTCTAAAATTTGTTTAAATTCAGGAGAACCGTTTGGACGGCTGAACCATTTGATGTTATCTTGAAAGTTAACTTCAGCGAGGGGTGTGGATGTGTATGCAGCCGAATTAAGATCCCTATCGATTTCCACGTATGTAGTTCTCTTCATTTCATTCCTAATCCGCATTTATTACTCTCCATCCCATGAAATTACTAAAATCCTCTTTTCTAATTTTGATCAAATGACTAAAATACCCTTAAATAACGTGAAATAAGGCACAACTTATGTCGCCCAAATTAACCTGTGTTACATTGTTTGCTTGCACGCCATTGAATCGTGCACACACCATTGAATCATTATTCTACATGTTATATTTCCCAATTACGTGTTATATTACCTATCTGTGACTATTTTAAGCGCTGTTTGGTTGGTTTTCCAATTAAATCCTGTATGGATAAAGATGTTTGTGTGGGTTAATCGGTCTGTACAGATTGAGAAGATTTTTGTTTAGAAGAGTTTCTTTCATGGATGAAAGGAGCGTGTTTGTTAATTGGGAGGGGCAGGTTCGAAAAAAACTTGGCTTTCTGCATAAAGCTCCCCTCCTTGAAACTTATTGAACAAACCACTTTCTATATCACTAAGCCACTACCAAACAGTCATGTATAGGTGACCAATAAATTGCGAGTCTCATTAAGCTCATTAAGCTGCTAAAAAACATGCCTTATTGTCTACTTGCACACACCGTTTCGTTGTGCACAAGCCGGGGATCTTCATGGAAACAACCTTTCAATCCTTGTGGTTGAGGTAAGGTCTGTGTACATCCTACCGCTCCTATAAGCCGATTTTCGATTGTGATATATTGGGTTTGTTTGGTTTAAGATGGGTGATATGGTAATTTTGGCCTAGAAACATTTCAAAAGCGTTAAATGTTGCAAATTTCGTGGGATGGAATCGTTGTTTATTCTTGTGTTGTGCTAATCTTCCGAATATCTTGGCAAATCGTGTGCTGTGGGCTTCGTATGCAGGCATCAACTGACACTTTGAAGCGTGATAAAGATCACGTTTTCCGAAAGCTAAAATCGAAAGCCATAAAAGGTTCATGTTGCGGGCATAATTCGGTTCTCGAGAGAAAAGTGATGATAGTTCCAAAGAGCGAGACTATAGTTCGTGCCATTGTGACCAACATCCGATGGTACGATGACAAAATGGTTAAAACCACAGGAGCTGGCTCTTTGAGCAATGGCTCGTTGAAACGGAGAAAAGAAGGTAAAAGTGACACCGAAGCAGGTCGTAAGCACAAGAAAGGGCAAAATAGGCATAAAAATAGATGAGCAGCAAATAGTTATTTGTTTGATTTTCGACGATGTAAATACATATAATTACTTGGTTTTTTTGGCGTAGAATTGTCATATAATGCAGCATCTGAGTGAATTTTTGGTAGGTTTATGTTGGGTCTTCTGTGTAATTTGACCATCTTGCCCCTAAACAGATCAAGGAATGTTTACCGAACGCTTGTCCAGGTTGGCAAAATTCAACACTATCGTCTATTTACCGGGTAAAATTTTAGTCTACAAAACAATATCGTATACAACAATTTACCTGGTAAGCGCTAATCGTGGTAAGAGTCGTCGCCCTTACTTACCGGGTAAGATTCTAAGTCATTGCCTTCGCTTTTACCGGATAAGATTTTTGGTTCTTGACATATTCATTCTAATGTAATATGACTTGGTAAGTGCTTACTCGGGTAAGCGTTTGGTAAACAACCCAAAACCATGCACAAGGTGTACTGTGTAGAAACGGTATTGTTTCACGTGTGAAAAAAATGTCATGATTATACAGACTACAATGTTGTTTCACATGTGAAACATTGATGATTGCTTTGTGTGTGTAAAATAATAGTTTTGAACGTTTCACATAAAAAACAACATTGTATAAAAACTGTGTTTTCACACGTGTCGTTTCATATATGAAACAACATAATAAAATTGGTGGTTTTTGTGAAATGACGACCGTTATAACGAGTATTATGTCGACCTTCTTTCGAATTACAATTTCAAGTGCAAATTTGGTGTCGTATAAATAGAGTTCATAACAAAAGGTCGAACGATCATGCATTAAACTCTTGACATCCCGAGCTTTCGTTTAAACAGGCGTTTGAGAAGGTATACTTGCAATATGCTTGCACCGACCAAAGCGGTAGATTCGAAGATAGCTTTGTGCATCGCTCTCTTGCTCATCGCTTCCATTACTGCAAATCAAACACATACAATTAGTAAGAATAAAATACTGTTTACTCACCTGAAGTCATCAACCCAACAGTATCTGAATTACCAATACAACTCAGACTTCTGGATAGGCATGGGAATAGGGCAAGGATGGGGCGGGGACCTCAATCCTCGTCCCCGTCCCCATCTCCGCCGGGGAATATAATCACATCCCCAACGGGGAACGGAGATTTTTTTTTTCTGTTTATATAAGTTATTTTAAATTAAATATGTGAGAGACCATACATGTTTAAATTTCAAACATATTTAGTAAACCTAAAGCCAAAATGAATTTAATTTAATACAAAAAAAACCACAACATCATATAAGAACTAATAACCTAAAACAAAAAAAAATTCAATTAAATCCAGAAAAACTTAAAGTCACATGTACCAAAAGATATTGAGTAATATAAAACCATATCGAGTAATATACAAAACTTATCGAGTAATTGGATTTTGACTTCACATCCAAAATATTACATATTAACATCTAAAAAATAACAATTTTAGATTATAAACCTAGTTAGCAAATAGAAAATTATGAATTACTACTTTAGTTAAAATAAATAATATATATATATATATATAAAATATAATATAATTAATTAATTAATTAATATATATAACGGGTACGGGATGGGACGGGGCGGGGCGGGAAGTACCATACCCGTCCCCATCCCCGGTTTGAGACAAATGGGAATCCCCGTCCTCATCCCTGATTTAACGGGGAATCCCCGTCTCCGACTGGGTTCCCCGACATAAGCTAAAAGTTCAAGCCCCACCTCGGCTCCATGACCATATGGTTCGTGAATCTTGTATTTGGGTATATAAATAAAAAAAAAATTAAAAGTTCAATGATCAGTTTATCTATTTTGTCTTCTACTGAAAGTTTGAAGTCATACTTATTGTCTGCCGATCACTCTCGGCCTCGAGCCAATGCTGTTCAAATTGAATGTTATTCAAAGCGGACTCTAACTTAGAAATCTGTTCCAAAATCGGATTGAAATGATCTACAAAATAAAAACGTCATTCAAGTCGTTAATTACTTTCTCCGTCCCATTAAAATTGCACCACTAACCACTGTTTTAACGAAAATGACAGTGCAAGAATGAACGGTTTTGGACAAAGTTGTCGAAATGCAAATGCAAGAAAAACCACCGTTACGGTTCTTTTGTCCAAATTTGTTCAGTCTTACAAATGCAGTGTTGGTTTTTTGCAGTTCACAAGAACGATGATTTGTTTGCAGTTAAAATGCCAGTTCAATTGTAAATAGAAATGCTCGGTTATCAACATACCTTTGACAAGATATGCAAATCTTGTCGAAAATAGTGACGGTTTGAGGGCAAGTAGGTAATTTTAACTATTTCGTGTAAACCAGGAATGAAAATTATACATGTAAGTGAACGTCTCACCATCTTTTGCATGTTGAAAGTCGTTATACAAGTGGCTCGAATGGACATCAAAGTCTATGATTTCTTGGAACGCCGATTTGCTACTGAAGCAGAATTGATAGAGGCCTTCGTTATGTGTCACGAACTCGTACTTGTCGCTTGTTTTGTCACGGATGTCGTGAATTTGCTCACCTTTCGGTCCCTTCACCTAATTGTCACAACATCGTCACTAAAAGTTCTGTTACAATCAATCATGCACGTTAAGTTTTTTTTTTGTATGGTACATATGTTTCATGTAAGATTTATTTGACTACTAAAGGGCCTTTGGCCAAGCGGGATGTGAGTTTTTGGCCTCCTAGAAGGTCAACAAAGGTGAAAAAGGTGTGTGTGCGTTTATTTGTTCTATTTACCGTATATAAATATTATATACTTAAAAAAATTATTTGACTACTGTGAAAAACTATTTAATAATTAAAGATCATTTCTTTCATCATTCCTACAATACGAAAAAAAAAAAATAACGCACTTTAACTTGATTCATATTTTGGATAACATACTTTGCAAACTTCCACTGTGATACCTAAGATGTAAAGTTTTAAACATTTAAGTACCCGAGTAACATGTTGAAGTATTAACCGGTTAGATTAATATATCAATGTTAGCAAATAATACTGAGTTGGATACCACATCACTCGTCACATCAACATGGTAACCGGTTACTTAAATGTTTAAAACTTTACATCTTAGGTACCAAAATGAAAGTTTTAAAAGTACGTTACCCAAAATAGGAACCGAGTTAAAGTACGTTACTTTTTTCATGCAATTTGCCCTATATTTGAAGGATCTGTTTGGTAGTAAAAATGGGATAAATTTAGATTCTTGACCTCAATTCAACGTGGAATGAAAATTTGGGCTTGTAAGAAAATGGACTCATTATATTATATAAAATCAAACAATTTATTTTTATTTTCAACCTCATTAATTACTGTTTAATACCTCTAACCACACACCCGTAAAATCTTTAACCCTCTAGCAGTTCTCCATTTTGGAGATTAGGAAAAATATAAGAGAAAACTCTGAATTTTTTTTTCCTTCATTTTAAAGAATCTGTTCAAGATATTGATATAACCACGTTAAACTCGATAACAGAGGCTAATAGAAACTTTAAATCATATCAAAGTCATAATTTAAACCTCAAAACTCAAAACCCGTTTTTCGTCGACGAATACTTAAAAAAAACGTAACTAATACTTAAGGACCATTTACCAAACACTTACCTGGTAAGTGCTTACCCGTAAAATTTAACACTATCAATTACTTACTGAGTAAGATTTTAGAACACCAAAACATAATCGTATAGGCATGGGAAATTGGGAATGGGGCAGGGACCTCAATCCCCGTCCCCGATAACTTATATCTATCCTCGTCCCTGTTCCCGCCCCCAATGGGAAACAGAGATCCCCAACAGGGAAACGGGGATTTTTTTTTCCTTTTATGTAAGTTATTTTAAATTAAATATGTGAGAGACCATACATGTTTAAATCTCAAATATTTTCAATAAACCTAAAACCAAAATGAATATAATTTAATACAAAAAAACCATAGCATCATATAAGAATTAATAACCTTAAAAAAATCAATTTAATCCAAAACTATATCGAGTAATTGTATTTTGACTTGATATTCAAGATATTACATATTAACATCTAAAAAATAACAATTTAGATTATAAACCTAGTTAAGAAATAGAAAATTATGAATTACAATTTTAGTTGAAATTATATATATATATATATATATATATATATATATATATATATATATATATATATATTATATATATATATATATATATATAGAGCCAATATCAAATGTTAACCATCATTTTTGTGTTAACCTTATTAACTGATCTTGACCATCCAAATCTATAATCAACGGTTAAGATTAATCAACACAAAAAATTAAATTTTAAAGTTTGAATTTTAATGAGGCCTAGTGAACAATGATGAAAGGGGCATTTTGGGAAGAAAAAATACACTTTCTATGCGCGGCTACTATCAAGGGTATTGTAATAAATTGAATTCATTTGTAACCCCCAAACAATTAATGGGGAGTTACAAACAATCAAATCCCAAAAAGTATGCATTCATATTATTAATTTTTTTTTACTATTGATCTTCCATGTTCATTCTTGTATGAATTCCTAAATCGCATAAGAAACACGGTAGTAACAATTTTCGGTATTAATCAATTTGAACACATGAACCATGAACACAATTTGAACAAAAATGAACAACCGTGAACACAATTTGAACACAAATGAACTGTGAACACGATATGAACACGATATGAACACAAATGAACACGATATGTGCAATTTTTGGCCCATACATTCACATACATAGACGCCCCACAAAATTAAGGTAACATATGTTAATTTGTGTTCATCTGTTAATTTGTTCAAATTGTGTTCACGGTTCATTTGTGTTCAAATTGTGTTCACGGTTGTTCATTTGTGTTCAAATTGTGTTCACGGTTCATTTGTGTTCAAATTGTGTTCACGGTTGTTCATTTGTGTTCAAATTGTGTTCACGATTCATTTGTGTTCAAATTGATCAATACCGAAAATCGTTAATACCGTGTTTCTTATGCGATTTAAGAATTCATACAAGAATGATCATGGAAGATCAATATTAAAAAAAAAAATTAATAATATGAATGCATATTTTTTGGGATTTGATTGTTTGTAACTCCCCCATTAATTGTTTGGGGTTACAAATGAATTCAATTTACTACAATACCCTTGTAAGGGTAAAATGAACAAGACATAAACCTATAAGAATAATGGAATTTGATTGGTTGAGAGAGTTTTCAAAGTTAACACAAAAATGATGGTTAACATTTGATCTTCCCTCTATATAAATATAATTTATTAATTAATATATATAACGGGTACGGGGGGGCGGGGAGTACGATACCTGTTCCCGTTCCCGTCCCCATCCCCGATAAGCGTTTGATAAACGGCTCCTTAGACTTTAAATACTGAAAGCGGAATTAAAGAGGGATGAATAATACCACAAGATCAACACCAACGACGGCGATATCCCAAGCATTATAGACCTGAATGACAACAAATGAAAATCGAATGGTTGCAGGAGACTCGACTTTATGTGAAAAACATTCTTCTTTGTCCATCAAAAACCTGATTCCCAACACTTCCCATTTCCTTACGCTCATCGTCAGAAACACCATCACCATCGTCCACAACATTTTCGTCTGAAACAACCACATCGAAATTATTTTACCTAACAGTCGTCTGAACAGCTTTCAACCAATTTAAATGACAACTCATACATTCTTCACTTTCAACCTCACATACATTCCATGATAATTAAAAACTTTCTAGTGACAATTGCATCAAAAAGTAACGTACTTTCAAAACTTCTATTTTGGTACCTAGGATGTAAAGTTTTAAACATTTAAGTACCCGGGTAATCGGTTAAACACTAATTTTATATTAAAAAAAAGTCCATGTCACTAACCACGTCAGCAAATAATACTGAGCTGAATACCACATCACTCGCCGCATCAGCATGATAACCGATAATTGCTTCAACCTTTACCGGGTACTTAAATGTTTAAAATTTTACATTTTAGATACCAAAATGGAAGTTTTTACCCAAAATAGAAATCAAATTAATGTACGTTACTTTTTCATACGATCTACACTTAACTTTAATGCATACAAAAATTCAAATTATTTTGTATTTCTGAGTATTTTGTAATATATTTAACACCAAAGTTATTTATATTGTTATAAATTTAAATTTTAATTATATTACTTCCACAAACACCAATTATTAACCACAACGGTCGTGCTTGATTGGTTTGAGCTTGAGCTTCAAATGTCAAAAGTGTCTGGGGGTCTAAGGTTCAAATCTAATGAGGAATAAAACTCCCCTTTTGGCCATAAAGGTTCAAATACGGTGACTCCGGGCTATCCACAAAGCATGTGGTCTTCCTAAAAGTAGTCGGCTCATATAGCAAGTTGGATATCCACGTTAATAAAAAGAACATAAATTATTTATTTATTGATTTATAAATATTGGATCAGTTGGTTGATAATTGTAAATCTTTGTACAAGTTGATCATGCGTTTTTGTTGATATAGAAATCTTGATCAACGACCTTTGATAATCTATAATTTATTTGTTTAAAGTAGCCGTATACTCGTTCGGACCGGAGTGGCATCAGAAACGGTTGGGACTAGTCCAGAAACTGATCGGTTAACCGGTTCCGCAGAATATAGAGCCCAGCTGAAAGAGCCCGAGCCTAAAGCCTGATGCAGACTATGCGTGTCAAAGCCCAATCAGGACGACATTTTGGGGGCAAAGCCCGTCTAGAAAAAAACTCTAATCAAGCACCTTTTCAACCAGCGGTGGCCACAGACAAAGGACCAATCCGGCCTAGGACCAATTATAGGACCGTCGACCGGGACTGGTTTTGGAGAGTTTCAAGGGACCATCCCGATCGGGACCGGTTATGGCCCGGCCTGCCAGGGCCCAAGACCGGTTTTTGGTCATCACTATTTTCAACCCAAAGCCTGGGCCAGGCCTAAAAAACCAGTCCTTTTTTCAGTTATTGATAACCGGCTTGAAAGGCTCGGGCCCGAACTTCGGTGAATCTCCATCACAGAATGTAAATGGTCATTTGTTAAGTCCACCCGAATTAAAGTTACAAATGCAAATTTGGTGGTATATATCTAGAGCTCATAACAGAAGATCGAATAAATTAAAAAGTGCTATAAAACATTCCGCAATCGATCATGAATTAAACTCTCGACATCCCGAGCTTTCGTTCAAACAGACGTTGGAGAAGGTAGACCTGCAATACGCTTGCACCGATCAAAGCTGCTGATTCGAACATAGCTTTGTGCATTGCTCTCTTGCTCATCCCTTCATTTACTGCAAATCGACCACATTAATTAAAACACCATTTACTTTTTGTGTCCTGGTAGGTTGTCTAACTTTGGGTTTGTATGTTAGCAGCTTAATAAGCTTAATGGTACTCATAGCTCATTCAGTCGGCTTTATACAACTATTTGGTAGTGGCTTAATGGCTTAATGATACATAGAAAGTGGCTTATTTAATAAGGTTCTAGGGGGGGTTATGCAAAAAAACCATGTTTTTTTTCCAAACCTGCACCTTCCCATTACAAAAACAAGCTCATTCTATCTATGAAAAAACTCTCTAAAGCCAAAACCTCCATAATCTATACAAATTAATCCACACAGATAGCTTTATCCATACAAGACTTAATAGAATACCAAACAAACAGCCCCTTTCACGATAAACCTTGTTAGGTCACCTAACAACTTATTATAACACCTTTAGATAAGACACACTGTTCTTGTTCTTTTTGTTTATAGCAAATTGACCGCTTACTTGGCTCAAACCAATGATATTCTCTTGAACTAATATATATATAAAAGATGACCACTAAACTTTCATGATTTTTCATTTATGCACCTCGAGAAAAAGATCTTCATAACCAACCCAGTATAGGATTTACGCTGACATGACATCTACCCCGAAGAGTAGAACAGATATTTCCATGAATTTGTGCTTTTTATGACACACACTTTTCACAAGTCAGATGTATTCACGAACAAGGAAACAACTATTCTACTCCTTGGGGTAGATCAGTGTACATCCCGCCCCAACCCGTGGACTCCACCTCCTGGTAGGATATACTGGGTTCATTTGGTTATCTTCGTTAGGGGTTGTTAGGTTGGTTTCCCGTTAAGTCCAGTATAGATAAAACTGTCTGTGTGGATTAATCTGTCTATATAGATTGGGAAGTTTTTGTTTGAGAGGGTTTTTTCATAGATAGAATGAGCATATTTTTTAACTGGGAGGGATAGGTTTGGAAAAACTTGGCTTTCTGCATAAAGCTCCCTATAGAAGCTTAATGAATTAGCCACTTTTTACATCATTAAGCCACTACCAGATAGTCATGTATAGTTGTCTGTATAAGATGTGAGTCCCATTAAGCTCATTAACCTGCTAACAAACAAGCCCTCACTCTATTAATTGCATTATTTTCACCTAATTTAACAAACTAAAGTCAAGATTGAGGGAGCTTAACGAGTCAATAAACCAAAAGTTTAATGATCATTTTATCTAATTTGCGTTATATTGATAAAGAGTCGGAGATTATACTTATTGCTTGTCGATCAGTCTCCGCCTCGAGCCAATGTTGTTCAAATTGAATGTTATATAAAGCATCCTCTAACTTGGATATCTGTTCCAAAATCGGTTTGAAATGATCTGCAAAATAAAAAACATCATCCAAGTCAAATTAATTACAGAAATATTGAAACAATCAACTCTATATTCATATAAATCAAGGTTCTAAATGTCGTGAATTGTGGCGTGGCTTCGAGGTCAAGCCTCAGGAGCCACTGTGTTTTTCAAGACATGACTTATGACGGAAAATCGTATATACAATAATATAGATATATGTATGTTTTCTACTATTACTCAATGAGTCAATGATATTAAGCAATTTAAATTAAGTTATATACTCGAAACTAAAAAGTAAGACATGAGCCTTGGGTCGTTGCGACGAGCCTTTTAGAACATTGGTTATAATTGGGCCCAATACAAAACGTTGCAAAATGACCAAAATGGCCCTCATATAAGGGCACTTATCGGATGGCTTTAAGGGACGTTAGGGCAACGACGGGAATAATGATGAGCCTTTTAGAACACTGGTTATAATTGGTCCGAATAAAAAACCCGTTGCAAAATGACCAAAATGGCCCTCACATGAGGGGACTTATCGGATGGCTTTAAGGGACTTTAGGGCCAGGAACGTTAGGGCCAGGGACGATTGGTGAAAGCAAATTGAAATGATGAGGACGATTGGTGGAAGTTACTCTAATATTTTATATATGGCAAAACTCACACACACTCCTCACGTTTGGCGAGACTTGAACCCTTGACCTCCAAGGAGGTTGGGAGGTGGGGTTCTACTGGTATCTCGGGTACCGTTGGGCCAATGACCCTTCGGTAAGATATGCAAATCTTGCGGACAAAAATAACTTGAGGGCAACTACGTAATTTCAACTAGTATGCAAATGAAAAAAGAAAATGAAGACCTCACCATCTTTTGCATGCTCAACGTCGTTATAGAAGTGGCTAGAATGCACATCAAAGTCAATGGTTTCATGGTACGGAGATTTGTTAGTGAAGCAAAACTGATAGAGTCCTTCTTTATGTGCCACGAAATCGTACTTGTCGCTTGTTTTGTCACGGAAATCATGAATTTGTTCTCCCGCAGGTCCTTTCACCTAATAATCGTCAACATGCTCACTAAAATTCATTCGGTAACCAAAATTTGTGACAATATCATTAAAGTACACTACAACAAAATCGATCATAAATGACACCATTTACGTTACAATAAGTTCATGGGATGTTTTTGGACATCCTAACAAGTTTTTAAGACGATCATAAAATAAAGTGTCCTATTAGTTTTTTATACGATGTTATTTGAAAAATTGTCTTACAAAAACAAATGTCTTATAAAAAGATATTCATAAACAAGCTAATATGACACCTTATTTCGAAAGTGTCTTAGAAACTCTTTAGGATGTTCAAACATGTCATAGCATCCTATCATAACACGTACAACTGTTTGATCCTATAAACTTAACTCCTATAAAGCAAGTTTATTAGACATTTAGGGGCCGTTCACCAAACGCTTATCCGGGTAAGTGTTTACCGGCAAAATTCAACATTATGACTTACTTACCTGGTAAGATTTTAATCCACAAAAATGGTATCAAATGGACTCTTTGACCCAATATTTGATCATGCCAAAAATTTCAATTTTGACTTTTAAGAGCCAAAATTGGTACTTCATCAACAAAACTGAGTACTGACAAAGGGATTTTTTAGTCATGGAGGAACATCCATAATTACATCAAACAATCTAAGAAAGCAAAATTTGGAGACAACAAACTAAGAACATCCTCGTACGTATCGAATTCAACGAATTAGGTTTCGATTTTCAACATTAAAAGTCTCAGATGCAAAGAGTAAAACCAAAGAGACAAAGAAGAGATGAATACCACAAGATCAACGCCGTCTTCGGTATAATGCCAAGCACCTTCGACTTTAATAACAACGAAAGAAAATCGAACAGTGGTTCCGTACTCGGTTTTATGAGAAAAACATTCGTCTCTATCAATTACAAACCTGATCCCGAACACTCCGCCTATGTTAGCCGTCAGAAGCACCATTACTGCCGCCGCAACCGCCGTCGACATCATTCTCATCTGAAACAAAATCAAACAATTCAGTTCAAGGAACAACATCGGAACTTTCGATTCAAACTTAAGGGTACATCAATAGATTAGTGACTAGTTTACCTTTGATTCGATTCGGATATGGAGGATTTGGGGCCGATTAATTGATAATTTCTTCGATTACAGTCACGATTGAGGACGGATCAGAAGTCAGAACACACGACCAAACTTGGAACTAGTTTCACCCAAGTCGAACGGGGGAAGTCGTAAGTTGTTTTTATGTTTGACGGTTTTATGACGGAGCCGTCATTAAGTGGGCCGTGGGCTAAAATATGTTTACCCGGCCCAATGGGTTTCTGGAAAAGGCTTCAAGCCCACGTTAAGTTCTACCATTTAGCCCAAATTTAAGCTAAATACTAATTAGAATTTGGCGGTCTAGACACTAGAGTCATAGAGATGGGTTTTTTTTATTGACCTCTATATCCAACCCGTTATGAGAGCCGATTAATCCCAGGATGACCACCTGTTTTGCAGATAGTCCGGAGTCACCGTATTTGAACCTCTGTGGCTACAAGAAGATTTTTATTTCTCCTTAGATTTGAACCTGAGACCTTCTGGTACTTTTGACATTTATAGCCAAGCTCAAACCAATCAAACACCACCCTTGTGGTTGAGTCATAGAGATGGTTAAATTGGGCTTGAATGGCATTGGACCAATTAGGACTAGGATGATAGGATCAGTTATGGTCTGACACTCCGATAGTGATGGCCAATCAGGTCCAGCCTGACCCACGACCGTTGGAAGATCGAAACTGGGCCTGGCAAAGGATCGGCCCAAATCGGCACCGAGACTGGTTATGACCGGTACTATTCAGGCCCGGAACCGGCTTCGGCTCGGCTTGGCCCGGCCTGAGATCGATTTTTGGCCATCACTACACTCCGGAACAATTTGGGACTAGTTATTTATTGACTTTTCAAAAAATATCATAAGTTTTATTAAATATAAAAGGAAAAAGTTTAAAACCCCCGAATAAATCTTTCCATTTTTGAATGATTTAGTTCCTAAACTATTTTTCGGATGAAAAAACCATTAAACTTTTGATTTTGAATGATTAAGTTCATGAACTATTTTTTTGAATGAAAGAAACAATTAAACTTTCTATTTTTGAATAAAAAAGATTAAACATTTTCATTTTGATTGATTAATTTAATGAACATTTTTTTAATAAATAAATCATCACACATTTAAAAATTAGTTATCTACATCATTTCAACCCAAAAAAATTACATTAACTGATTAGTAAAAGTCCACTGGTTTATTTATTTATTTATTAAAATTCAAGGATTTAATTATTCAAAATGTGAAAGTTTAATGTTTTTTTCTTTCAAAAAAAAAAATAGTTCAGGGACTTAATCATACAAAAATGAAAAAATTTAATGATTTTTCATTAAAATAAATTGTTTAAAGACTAAACTATTTAAATTGGAATTTTTGGGACTTTTCTGAATAAAACTTTTCATTATTTTTTTACAATATATTGAAGTATTTTTTTTAACAGTAGCAAAAATAATTCATGTAAATACATTATTTAAAGTAAATTTCAATGATAAATTTTAAAAAAGTAACTGAAAGACACTACTAACATTTTTTTGTAGAAATATTTTATTTTTTTTTTAAAATTCGGGTCGGACACAAACCGGTCCGAAAGGATAGGGACCGGTTACTGGGTCTAGAATCAGTCCTAGGATTTTTTATTCAGACTGGTCGGCACAATTTTAAAAGGACCTATTTGGGACCGACTAATGACCGATTTTTGGCCGTCTTTTGAAGTGGGTATGAAGAATTTAGGACCACTCAAGCTCAAATTTAGACCAGAATTGATGAACCAGGGACCAGATATAATCAGTCGATTTCTATTGGTTATGATTTATTTAAGCATCGGCTAAAATTGGTAAATAGATTACAACCGAAGAATTCAATCTTGGTGTTTCCAATAAAAACAATTTCATTTTAATAAAACTAGAAGAATACTCGCGCAATACATCGAGACCCATCTTGATTTTAATATTTCATTTTATTCTTTATCTCAGTCAATGTTATATTATGGTCTTATATGATTTTGAAAAAACGATACTGTTTTTATTTTTGAATAGAATATAAATTTGAAGATATAATAAAATTTTGACAAAAATATATAGATATTACAATCAAATTAACTATTTAAAATTTATATTTTTGTGTAATTTTTAATTATTCTTTATTATAATTTAATTTAGGTTCAATAATAAAATAATTTATATTTGGTTTAATGATATAATTTTCTTATAAAGAGAATAATTAATTATTTTGTTAGAACTTGCTAATTATCCTAATTATATTTTAATTTTTTTATATTTTAAAATGAGATGTTTATTCTCTAATTGGTTATGTTTATCCGCAGTTAGTTAAGCAAATTCAAACATGAAATTTTAATAAGTTGTACTTACGCACAATCTATTTGTAATCTTGAGTTTTAAGTAATATGTATTAATAAACAGTATTCTACACATAAAAAATGGTTTTTAAGAATTTTTGTCAAATGTTTTATAATATAGTATAGATATATAAAAAATCATTTCGACCAAAACTAAACGAGGGTATGAAGTATTCATTCACATGTGATTGTCCCTTATAAGCAAATCAACAACCAAATTTATTGTGAAATAAGAATCATACAAATATTAATGCATTACAAATGATACAATCGAAATCTACTACATAAAATAGAACAAGGTACAAATAAACAAAGAAAGAGAAACCGATTTAACGGTCACAACGCTCGGGACCTTTCCTTTATCCGTGCGAACAAAAAGTGCCAAGTACAACGGTACGTTCAGTACCAAAAATACAACACAAAGTACGATATTCACTAACATGGCCTCGTAGTATGCCCTCTGGGTTCCGGTATCCATGGATACCAATTTCGTAATGAACACGAGAAAGCACACTAGATTGATCACCGACACAGTGGCCACCATTGTGGACAACGGTGACGACCCTCCAAACTCCATTATCTCTTTCTCGTATCTCTCGCGAAGGTCATTTTCCGTCACCTTTGAGCTGATTACGAATGACAAGTTGGATCCCAAGATGGTGTCGAGTAATGCAAAGAGGTACGAGCTTATTCGTTTGTAGAGCCAGATTCTTCGGTCATTCCACCATCCTCTCATGGTGCCACCGTACCCGAGAAATTGAAGGTACTCGAATGCGGAGATCGAGATGATAATGTATGCAAATGGAAGAAACCATACACTTGACACCTGAAATTTCTATTCACGTTTTAGAGTATCTCCAATAGTTTCTTCACAATAAATACATATAGAGGGGGGAGATTCAAACGAGAACAATATTCAGATAAAAGAATACAAAAACAGCCGGATCACATGGGAAATCACGTGATTTTACATTAACGGTCAACGCAAGGATGTGCTAGCGAGATCGTCCGTGACCTCCTCTCCCGAGCAAAGACGCGTGAATCACATGTGATTTTACACGTGATTTTATTGTAAAACCACATGTGATTCGACTATTTTCTCATTTTCTTATTTAATTAGTGTTCTCGTTTGATCCTCACTATATATATATATATATATATATATATATATATATATATATATATACATACATACACATCCATATATAGGGTTTGGTTCACGTGAGACCAAAGGTTTTTCGCGAGACCCGTAAGACCAATTTATGTTCATTGATCAACTTTATAATCTAATGGTCTTAAGTTGCATGGTGACAATTTTGTGATTATTGAGAAATCTCGTGGCAATTTTGTGATTATGAATGTTCAGATTGTAGATCTAATCCAAGGATTGAGAATTGATCTCACGGGTATCATGGAAAACCCTTGGTCTCACATGATCCCAAGTCCACATATAAATAGAAAAACAAAAGGATGTTAAAATGGCATCATGAAAATTGAATATTTTCAAATAGCGCACTGTAATAACTAACATTTATTTATATGGACAATCTATACATTACTACCTCAATTTCACATGCTACCGCTCAACCTGCTGTCTCCCTATTATTTTAGGTAATGTACTTTCAAAACTTTCATTTTGGTATCTAAAATGTAAAGTTTTAAACATTTAAGTACCCGGGTAACTGGTTGAGACATTTAACTCCAAAATCACAATTTTCTACGTTTTTTTAAAGAATCTATTAAAGATGCTCTTACGTCAGGAAAACAACTTGCAAGTTGAATTTTGTAGCTATCGCATTTGAAACCAAGTTTCCAATACGACAGCTACAAAAATCAATAATTCACTACACGAATAACTTGTTTCAGTAGTCATGTACGATCAACATGACTACCGATATTCAATTTTGCTTTACGAAATTGAAATGTGCACAAGTAACGGTAATCGATAACTTACCGGAGGGAAAAGCGAAACGCCGTTCATAAGACAAAGCGAAGGGACGATGGTGTAATACAGTGTTGGCAAGGAGGAAGGGGACCATAAACAGTACATCATATAGCCCATCAAAAGACCAGGGTGCACCCTTCCAATCCCGTACCAAGCCGGGCTATACTTCGAGAGTAAGATCAGTAAATCGCCCTCCGACCACCGTTTATGCTGCAGGAGGATCTGGTCGACCGTGGTTGCAGCAACGCCAATAAACGCCTCCCTTTTTGGATTGTAGTACACCGATTTCCAGCCTCGGCAGTGGATCGATAGTCCCGTTATCACATCTTCGACTGGACAACCGTATTTCAACCCGATCTACGACACGAAATCCACAAGTTAAATCACTATACACTACAATAAAACTGATTTTATAGGACGCCTAAAATGTAGAAGCATCCTGACAAATATTTTATAAGACCAAACCAAAAAGCATCATATCTAAAAGTGTTACAATACGCTTTTTAGGCGTTTTAACAACTTTTAGAATGTCTTTAAAATAAAGTGTTGTATTTACTATTTTACACGACACTATTTGAAAAGGTGTCGTATAAAAAGATGGGTTTATAGGACACTTCTCAAAGTGTCCTATCAAATAGCTAATAGGACACTTTATTTTAAAAGCTTCCTAAAAAACTTGATAAAACGCTTAAAAATACCCTTTAAACTTATTGTAACACTTTTAGATATGACGATTTATAGTTTGGTATTATAAACCTAAGTTTTATAAAGTATTCAATTAGGACGTTTAGACAATTTCGTTGTAGTGATATATGTCACTAGAAGAAATATGGGTATCACCGACATGAGAAACATTCGAAAATATTTTGGTCATACAAACATTAGCGACGACATTTCCTAACGGCTTGTGAAGTATTACCGACAGGAACTACGAAACGGAAAACAAATGCATAATACCTCGTTTCCCCATTCGGTATCGATTTCGTAGGTGCAGCTCGCAAGACTCTTTGTTTTCTCGATCATGTTTTCCGTTGTTTCTTTGCGATTGTTCTCTGCTTTCCAATCGATTCTACTTCCATCATCGAAGCTTTTCCCTAATAGAATCTCTCTACGGTGAAAGCAGCCGGTTCCGATGTATAAAGGTCCGCCAAGGCCATCCAGACCGTGGAAATCGACCTTCAGCGATCAACAAAAAACCCGTTAAACTCGCATAAAGACGGATTAATTCAAACGTATATATAGATTTATATCTTTCACCTCACGGATTATTCTCATACAGCCATTGTAAAGATCGTTCTTTGTAAGATTATCAAAACACTGCGGGAACTGCACGAAAGCGATCTCGTGACCTTGTTTTTCGTCCATGAAGAAGCAAAGCGCATCTCTCACTGTGTCACGGCTATTCGAGTACATATCGCAGTCGACATTCAGAATTATCGGTCCGTTGCTTATCATCGACGACACTCGTATCTGCATCACGTGTCGTGAAAATATCAAAAACCATATTAAATTACTCGTTAAAAGAGCCCTAAAAAGATAAAAGAGGATTTTGACATATATCGAGTTTATAAGACACCAAAAATGTTTAAGTATCATAATAGGGTACTTTAGAGGACTTTAGTCTATGAGACCAAATACTTGTGTGTCATATCTAAAAGTGTTGTAATAATTTATATGACGTTTTTGGGTGGACAACTTTAAAAGAAAGTGTCGTATTAGCTCTTTTATCTGACACTTTTGAGAAATGTCCTACAAACACATCTATCTGTAGTACACTTATTTTATAAGACATTTTTTTCAAATAATGTCACCACATAAAGGGGCTAATAGGACACTTAGGGGCAGTTTATCAAACACTTACCCAGTAAGTGCTTACCGGTAAATTTAACACTATTATGTACTTACCGGGTAAGATTTTAGTCCACCAAAACAACATCGTATGCAACAATTTACCCGGTAAGTGCTTACCATGGAAAGAGTCGTCGCCCTCACTTACACTTACCGGGTAAAACTCTTGATCCTTTTCTCGCTCTTACCGGGTAAGATTCTTGGTCCTTACTATATTCATCAGATGAGGTAATTATACTTGGTAAGCGCTTACCCGGGTAAGCATTTGGTAAACGGCCCCTTAGTTTTAAAAGTGTCATAAATAGCTTGTTAAGACACCAAAGACACATCCTATAAACTTATTACAACACTTTTACATATAGGAGACATGAGTTTTTGGTTCTATAAACTTAAGTCCTATAAAGTAGTCTATTATAACATCGTACATTTTTGGGGTTCTATAAACCCAAGTTTATTGTATTGAGAAGGACGCAAGTTGTCCCAGAATATCGAGAAAGGGCTAGACAAGTATAGATTGCCAAAAAAGGTCGAGTCCCTAAAGTAATAGACCTTGACTTTAATACCATACCAGGGTTGGGTTCACGTGAGACCAAGGGTTTTTCGTGAGACCCGTAAGACTAATTTATGTTCATTGATCAACTTTATAAGCTAATAATCTAATGATCTAAAGTTGCACGGTAGCAATTTTGTGATTATTGAGAAGTCTCGTGGCAATTTTGTGATTATGAATGTTTAGATTGTAGATCTAAATCCAAGGGTTGAGAATTAGTCTTACGAGTCTCACTTAAAACCCTTGGTCTCACGTGATCCCAACTCATACCACATATATATAAATATATTTGGGATCACGTGAGACCAACTTGTTTTCGTGAGACCATATATTTTACACTTGAAACTTCACAACAAAATGCTGTCAAACTAACCTTCACAGTGTTTTTACTGTGAAGGTTCAGCTTTTTTTTTACCTTCACAGCGTTTTGCTGTGAAGTTTGAAGTGTAAAAAAGTGATCTCACGGGTCTTACGAAAACAGGCTGGTCTCACGTGAACCCAACTATGAAGCCTATTTTGTGTTGTGGGACCCATAAAATGGAAAACAAGAAGTAACTACTTACCAATGCATTCATGGCTCCAGCTTTGAAGTTATGGAAATGATGTGGTCTCTTCTCCCTAGCCATATATACTAATTTTGGAAGGCTAATCCCTTCTGTATCTTGATTATGATCAAGTAAAATCTGCAAAAATATGGAGTCAAAAGACAGTAAATTTGATGTTTGAATCGAAAAACCGATGACAAAAGCCGGTTAGCAGTGTTAACGAGCCGAGTCGAGTTGAATAACGGGCAATTCGAGCTCGACTCGTGAAAATAATATCAGCCTCGAGCTCGAGTAACATTTTGAAAATAGCTCTCGAGTTCGAATACTTTTTCAATATTCGAGATTGATGCTTGTTTAACGAATTTGAGTTATGCATTATACCTATAATTCAAACTTTATAAGCTTGTTTAAGGGTTCGAAATCGAGATCGATTAACTCGTTCATTGGCTCTTCTTATGTTTTTATTTTGGGTTCTAGATTGATTTGAGCTCGAGAATAACTATGTTCGATCTCGATATAAACGAGCTAAAAACGATCAACTTAAAAGCACAAAATTTGAAGCGTTTACTTGGACAATAGTTTCGTGATCCCTTGAAGACGTAAACGAATCCCATTCCGCAAATCCTTTGTGTTCTAAGCGTAATTCTTCGGAAACTCTTCCGTTCTTTGTCACATTTTCGATTCGATTCTTCATCTCTTCAAATAATCTCTGAACCCAAAACAAATATCTTCAAGATTCTAAGTGAACATATATAAACAAATCGAATTTGTTTTTATAACCGTAGACATTCTGGCCAGTTTCCGGGCCAGGCCTCGGCCTCGACTAATCTAGCGGGGCGCTTAGAAAATCCCCAGTGGAAACGAGGCTCGAACCAGTGCTAAGTCCTAGCCTTTATTCACTATGCTCAGATTGTCTAAGGAGCCGTTTACCAAACACTTACCCCGGTAAAGTGCTTACCGATAAAATTGAACACTATTATTTACTTACCGGGTAAAATTTAGTCCACCAAAAAAACATCGTATGCAACAATTTACCCGGGAAGCGCTTACCGTGGTAAGAGTCATCGCCCTTACTTATCAGGTAAGACTCTTGGTCCTTGTCTCGCTCTTATCGGGTAAGATTCTCGGCCTTTACCATATTCATCCGGTGAGGTAATGTTACTTGGTAAACGCTTACCCGGGTAAGCGTTTGGTAAACGGCTTCTAAGTGTACTAACAAAATATTTTATAGTACTTAGGTTTATAGGGTCAACCGTGCAAATTCATAGGTTTGACTCCTGCTGGATGCACTCAAATTGTATCCCTTCGGAACCGTGCACGTGTCTTTCTATCTAAAAGCTTTACAATATGTTTATAGGACGTTTTAAGCGTTTTAACAACAAAATTGTGACGCTTTTAAAATAAAATGTCATATTAACTATTTTAGATGACGCTTCTGATAAATGTCCTACAATTCCATTTTTAGTAGGAGGCTTGTGTTTATAAAACATTTATTTCAAACAGTCTCGTGTAAAATAGTTAATATGATACTTTATTTTAAAAGTGTTCTAAAAAATTTGATACAACATCGAAAAGCGTCCTATAAATCTATTGTAGCACTTTTAAATATGACGAATTTTGGTTTGGTTTTATAAATACAATGGCGATTACCTTAACGACGGTGAAATCTTGACGGTGTTTTGAATCTGATGGGTGAGATGCCGATTTGAAATAGGAAGCCGGAGATGTGGGCTCCACCTTATAATTTCTGCAGTACGGCAACCAGTGCTCGGAGAAGGCGGCGGCCTGAATGAGAGCATAGAAGGTGAGTTCGGAACCACCATCGTCGGAAAGATAAACGGAGAGCTTTTCCGGCGGATAGTTATATGCCATGACTGATAAGACGGTGCTGATCACCATCATTGGTGGCTCAATTATGGGATCCGCCGTGCAAACGAATATGTCCACCGCCGGCAACTCATCCTCATACCTGTTTCATTGAAAAAACCACTATGAATTCTTTTTTCCGGAAGGAAGCAACCATCGGTGAATTTAGTGTCATCAACTATTTTGGTGTAACTGTGATTTACTTGAGATCGATTAAGCCGATATTGGCGCACACACAAAAGTTAGGTGGTGCAGATTGCACACTTAAGTAGCGTTTGGTATGCAAACTGGATGAGACGGGATCTTCAGTAATCGCTGAGCTCGTCTTCAGCTATCGCCAAAGGGCTCAGCCCCTTGGAACCCACTCCGAGGTGCAACAACCCCCAAACCAAAGAAAATAGACAAGAAAGAACAAGCAACTAGACCAAGAAGGCTACAAGGAAAAAATTAAAGGACGTTTGGCCTAGCGGTATCCTAAACTTTGCCTCCTTGGAGGTCAGGATTTAAACCTCATCAAAAGTGAGGAAGGTGTGTGAGTTTATTTGTTGCATTTGCTATATATATACGTTGTATACTTCAAAAAGAAGGCTACAAGGGAACAACAAACAATCCAAACAAAACAAACCCAACGAAAAGAAATGAGTAGATCAATCGAAAGGCCGGTAAGAAGAGGCAATCCAACGGTTCTAAAATAAACGTATAGATTATGATTTCTATAAAATTTATTTAGGGGTTGTTTGTTTTCCTCTTAATAGTTCCATTAAGAGGCAATCTCTGAATCGTTAAGAGGTGAATCTTATTTGGCAAAAAAAGTCTGTCTCTTAATGGCTCTAAAACCTCTGAATGATTTTGTATCATGAATCTCCCTTAACCATTAAGAGCCCTAATTTCATTGTACACAATTACCAAACAATTAGATTTCATTTTGCATTATATCATGAGAGTCTCTTAATCATTCTGCACAAAACCATTCAGCAATTGCCAAACAGCCCCTTAGTTGAACAAGCAACTATGAGATTTATTTAGATCATGATTTTATATCGTATTAAGCGATTTTATTAACCCTTTGTTTTAAAATAAAAGTTCACAATAAAAAAATACATATAATTTTAGTAATGTATAATTATTATATTTTTTAATTAACAAAAGAACAGCGACTTGAGATCACGTGAGACCAGTCTGTTTTGGTGAAACCACTTTTTTACATTTGAAACTTCACAGCAAAATACTATGAAAGTAACCTTTACAGTGTTTGCGATGAAGGTTCGGCTTCTTTTTACCTTCACAGCGTTTTGCTGTAAAGTTGAAACTGTAAAGAAATGGTCTCACGAAAACAGGATGATCTCACGTGATCTCAATTCAAATAACAGTTTTACCTTTAATTATATAGAGAAATTTTTCTCCATCACATAATTAAGTGTATAATAAAAAATAAACATTTGGTTTTTAAAAATAAAAACTTATTTTTATGACAAATTAAAATAATAATAAATACACTTATTTTAATATACAGAATTAGAAATTTGAATTATTCGTTATTTTTATTATATCTCTCAATGATTACTTAATTATTAATAATGATATTCGTTATTTTTTAATTATTTATATTTTATATTTTATATTTAGATAGAGAATATCTTTTCAATAAACAAATTGTTTTCATTTTTCTTCAACTAATTAAATTATACAAAAATACATATTATTTATTTTTGAAAAGTGAATTACATTGATGGTCCCTGTAGTTTATGTAAATTTTAGATTTGACCCTTAAAATGAATCATTTACATTAATGGTTCCTGATCATTTAATTTCATAACAATCGAGGTTTTTATGTTTGGCCGTTACTGAATGGTTTGATGTAGAATGATTAAGTGGTCAGAATGATTAAAATACTCTCATGATATAGTGAAAAATGAAATATAATTGTTTGATAATTGTTTACAATAAAATTAGAGCTCTTAATGGTTAAAAGAGCCCCATAATACAAAATCATTCAGAGGGTCACCATTAAGATGCAGACTTTTTTATCCAAACAAGATTCACCTCTTAATGATTTAGAGGTTGCCTATTAATGAAATTATTAAAAGGTAAACAAACAACCCAACAGTATCATCCAGCAATTATTAGAAAAAGCAAATTAGTCTTTTAACAAACTATAGGTACCGAAAGTGTAACTCACTATTTTTTTTAATTAAAAATTTGGGTTCTTTTATTAATTCTGAATTATTTGGGAATTTTAATATATTCTTGGAATTTTTAATTACGAATTATTTGAGTTATTCTAATAGAATTTTCAAAATAGATTAAGCGTGAAATATTTTCTTTGTTATAAAAAATATAATCATATTATCTTAATAAAAATCATGTTATGAAAATTAAAATATTACAAGATATTATTAAATTAATTATCAAAAAATTATGAATAAGTTACAACAATTAAGGGTCGTTTACCAAACACCTATCCGGGTAAGCGTTTATCAAATCATATTACCTTACCGGATGAATATAGCAAAGATCAAGAATCTTACCCGGTAAGAACGAGATAAAGAACAAGAGTCTTCCTGGTAAGTGAAGACGACGAATCTTACCATGGTAATAGCTTATCGGATAAATTATTGCATGTGATGCCGTATTGGTAGACTAAAATTATACTCGGTAAGTATGTAATAGTGTTGAATTTTACCGGTAAATACTTATCAGGTAAGTTTTTAGTAAACGAAAATTGGTATAATTATGAAAATAATTTACCACTACTTAGAATATTTTTAATAAATAATTAATTTTAAATTAAATTACATTTTTGGTCCTTATAAATCGCCTAACGACTGGTTTATCTCTTGTAACGGTCGTCATAAAATTGAAAAATTATAAACCATCGCTATAATATAAATAGTTTGTTTTTTTTATTAACCTGGATATCCAACCCGCTAAGCAAGCCGACTAATCCTAAGGTGACCACCTGCTCACAAGTAGCCTAGAGTCACCGCATTTGAACATATGTGACCACAAGTGGATTTTTATTGCTCCTTCAATTTAAACATGGAACCTCTTGACACTTTTAACCTTTAAAGCCCAAGATCGAACCAATCAGACACCACCTTATCACTAAATTAGAAATTTGAACAAACCCAGAGTCATCCCTTAGCATGTTAAATGTGAGATTTTGAACAGAGCCACCGAAATTTTGGGGCCCAAATTTACATGTGTTTAAGGTCTTTTTATCGACCTTTGTAAAACTATAAGCGGAATTATTTGGCTTCAAATCATTAATTATTTGGTTTTAGGTTCAAAGCATTAATGGTTTAGGTGTAGTTTTAGATTGTTAAATTGTTTTAGGTTTAGCCCATTTTTATTCTTTAACATATATTCTCTGTCATCTCATTTATGCAATGCAATCAAAAGTTTTGGATATAACAAGACCTTCAAAAAGATTTAAACATCCTTGAACTAGGGGTGCTCAAAAATCCGATCAACCCAACCTAACCCAAAACAATGTAACTCAACCTGAAGCAACCCGATGTCTAATCGAGTTGTAAAATTGTCAAACCGTAGATATTGTGTTGATATTGGGTTACCATTATTTGAACCCAACCCGATGAACCCGATATCCTTTTATTTATTCAATTTAATATGATTGTTGACTTTCTATTAATATGGGTATTCAACAATTACACTATCATGTATGTTTTTTATATACATATATTTTCAATCTATTTACATCTTTATATAACTCATTCATATATATGTTCAATAACTGTGAACATATATATATAAATTTAGAAAATTAATTAAATATGATATATAAAGTATGAATAACTTGTATCAAATGGTTGACGATGAAAAAAAATTACTGAGTAGAGAAAAATAACATATTCTAGATTAGAAGTATATTTTAATGTACTAAAGTATCAACCCGACCAACCCGTACAGGTTGGGTTGGGTTGTATTTTGGTTCGGGTTGGGTTGGATTAAGATTTTTCAAACTGTAAGCATTGGGTTGGGTTGTTTCTTCAACCCGATCAATAACGTAATTCACTCCAAAATGAATGACAATAATTATGACATGCAAATCAATTTCAAAGTTAACAGAAGGTTTAAGATCTAGAAGAGGGGGTGTTTGAAGGTAGACGGACCTTTGGGAAAGGCGGTGTTTGAAGGTGCGACGATAAGTGGGACTCCACCGAACCGACTGAGTCAATATCCAATAGAGACCCAACCACAGTTCAGCACCGAATATTCCGATCCAACCCCATCTCCGGTAGCCTGCCGGCGGCACCTGTGTTGCTCTGTAAATCCATATCCAGATGATGCTCACTAACACCGTCGTTGCAAACACCTTATATGCCTTCCACCCTTTTCCACCACCCTTTGTCTCAAATAATCCACCATTTCTTTCCTCCTCCATTTTCTTCTCTCTCTATCTCTATCTCTATGCATCTATCTCTCTCTCTCTCTCTCTCTCTCTCTCTATATATATATATATATATATGCTCAAACAAGGTTCACACACTCTCTATATATATAAATGAAAAAAATAAGGAGTAGGTCAAAAAGTTTGACTTTAAAAACCCCAAGTGGTAGTGAGTTGGGACTTCGGAGGGTTACGCCTAGAGGTTGGTTAGGTGGCATGTGCTATGTATTGTTCTTTCATGGTAAGGTGAAAAAATTAAGTTCGTGAAAGATGCAATTGTTTTATTTTAGAAAGTGTAACTGTTTTATATGGTGCTACTGTATCCAAAAATTCTTGGGTCCATCCCTGGGTTAAACTTTTGCGGACTCAATCGGGCCTCCAACTCAATGGAACTACCGTTCAGGGTGATCAAAAACCCGACCAACCCGATTAACCTGGCTCAATCCAATGTGAAATGACTCAATTTGAAGAAACTCAATGTTTAATTGAGTTGTAAAWTTTCTAAACTRTAGGTATTTGATTGATATTGGGTTACTATTATTTGAACTTAATCTAACCTGATGAACTCGATATCCTTTAATTTATTGGATTTAATATGATTGTTGAGTTTATATTAAGATATACATTATACAATTAAAGTATCACATACGCTCTTTATATACACATGTTTTCAATATATTCTTCATCTAYATATAACTTATTCGTATATATGTTCAGTAACTGTGAACATATATATGTAAATTGAAAAAATTAATTGAATGTGATATACGTAAGATTTAAGAAGTATATATAAGTTGTATTAAATGGCTGATGATGAAAAATAAATTATGAGTAGAAAAATAAATTATGAGTAGAAAAATAACATATTCAAGGTTAGAAGAGTATTTTAATGTACCAAAGTATCAACCCGACTAACCCGACCAACTCGTACGGTTTGGGTTAGGTTGCACTTTCGTTTGAGTTGGGTTGAGTTAAGATTTTTCAAACCGCAARCATTGAGTTATATTGTTCAAATGTCTTCAATCCGATCAATCCAACCTATGAGCACCCCAAAGTTGGAAGGGTTAAACTTTGGCGGACTCAATCAAGCCTCCAAACTCAATGGACCTAYCATTCTCGTACACGAAAGGAGGTTAAATCGTATTTTATGGAAATTTACATGAATATGCAAAGTTATAGGTGGTTTCATTTTTTTTAAACTAGTGTATGTACTACTCGGTTGTACAATAACCATTTTTTTGTCCAGAAATACGTTAAATTATAKTATAAGAAACATAATTTATTAATTAACTAATAAAATACAATATAAAACAATGAATRTACTTAAAATATTTTAGATATAAATTATTCTTACTGTTAAATTTTTTAATATGAAATTTATTCGATATTTTATTCATGGATAGACACTCGGCCATCGATTTAATGAAGAGATTGAGAAATAAAGAAATGGAGAGACCAAAATTAAAACAACCGAGAGAAAATGGTATAAAGGTATAAAATTACCATTCTCATCAAAATTTCACCGTACTATTCTTCCGCTATGAAGTATTCCTGGTTGAACTTGGGTGCGTAGGAGAATGTTTTCAAGAACATAATCAATTGTTTATTGATGGAGAATGTAAATCAATTGCAATAAAAAAATAAATGGAATGTCTGTCAAGAAGTTGTATAGTCTGGAAGGTTAAACTTAAGTTGAATTGTTTGAGAGATTAAATTTAAGTTGGATACAAAATTTACCAAAAAAAATCTCATTTATTATGAAACATRCAATTCGCCTGTAAGGACATAATAGTCTTTAACTTAATTAGTATTTTATAAAATTAAAAAAAAAAGGAGAAAAAGGGTAAAGAAGCTCCTAGTTTATTAGAAGAGGCCACATTATACATGATAGTTTCTTTTTTAATATATAAAGATCTACGTAAGGATTAGGCCTTTTTTTTTATTAACCTGGATATCTAACTCGCTATGCGAGTCGACTAATCTCAAGACGACTACCTGTTTTGCGGGTAACCTGGAGTCACTACATTTGAACTTTCGTGGCCACAAGGGGATTTTTATTCCTCATTGAATTTGAACCTGAAACCTTCATGTACTTTGACCTTTGGAGCTCATGCTCAAACCAATCACACACCACTCTTGTGGTTGTAAGGATTAGTTTTCAACAAAAATGAAAAAAAAAATTACGCACATACGTAAAGATTGACTAAAAAGTGAATTTGGGTCAGAAAATGGTTCAAAACTGAAACTCTATTTGTTGATCCACCATTTCTGTCAATTTGTTAATGAGCTATTTCTGTCAATTTCCTCATATTTTAGCCAACTTTTTCCTATCCAAAACAAAAATAGTCAAGATTTTGCAAGTGTTCTATCACGTAACTTATAAAACATGCTTTCAACGAATAAAATATGATTCAGGTGATAAATTTATAAAAACACTAAAAAACCAGAAAAAACGGGTTGCTAACAGATAGATTAGAACAAGAGGGCTGTAACGATTTCGAAACCGAAATTTCACAAACTGTTGTTTCAAATTTCGCAAATTGATCCTACTAAAATCATATTTAATTTATAAAATGATAAAATATTTAAATCTTCAAAAATGATTCACTATTTTGTTCATTATCTTCATCTTTTTCATATATCATAGATTTAATTATTACCCACAAAAATTAGAGCATTTAAGACAAAAACAAAAATTGTTGCTTTTTGAAAACCAATCAGAGTTTAACATCCATGGGATAAAATCATGAACCACAAATAAAAGATTGGTTTATGAAACGCTTATCTAGGTAAGTGTTTACCGGTAAAATTCAATATTATCATTTACTTATCGGGTATGATTTTAATCCCCCAAAATGGTATCACATGTAATCATTTATCCGGTAAGCGCTAACTATGATAAGAGTCATATTTCTTACTTACCCGATAAGACTCTCGGTACTCCCTTACATATATATGTTACTATTTTTTACATGTATAAATATCAAGATATTTTTAATTTTCAATAATAATTTGATTTTATCCTCAAATAAAAAAGAGTGGATAATAAGTGGTTTGACTACTTTTGGATATGTTCAAAGTTGACTTTGACAAATGTGTCAAAATTTTAAATAGACATAAATCTATTTTGGTCCAGGTTCATGACATCTTTTTGGTATTAAAACTCATCATATTTTATTATTTATAAGGTTTAGGGTTTATGGTTCAGGGTTTAGGTAAGATTTTCGTTTCTAGAGTTGTCGGTTCATTCTTCAACAGGCACGCAGTCAGGTCCCCAAGCTTATTTTCGACTCCCTGAAGCATTTCGTTGCTTGCTACCCCCTTCCTAACAACTTGGGGCCGGGCCTTCTTTTCGTTTTCGCGCTATTACGGATATGAAAATAACAGGAACAACTGGATTCGGTTGTCAACTGTCCCTATCGCTACGGTTTAGAAACTATGATTTTTGTCTCAGTGATTTATAATTTGTTGTTATTTTCATCTATGGACTAATTATTATCTTAAAGTATAAGGGACCAAAACTATAAATTAAAACCGTAAAACATAGGAGCCAAAACAACAATAAATTGTAAATAATAAGAATAAAAATTACAAATAAATTACAAAATATAGACAAAAAAACTCATAATTTCTTAACATAAGGATGAAAATCGTAAATTTTAGTAAAGTACATGGACTAAAAATGTAATTTACTCAATTATCTATATACTATATTATAAACTATTTGAGAAAAACTCTTAAAAATAATTTTTTATGCATAAAATATTGTTTATTGATGCATATTACTTAAAAATCAAAATTACAAGTAAATTTTGTGTAAGTACAACTTATTAAAGATTCATGTTTGAATTCGTGTAACTAACTGCAGATAAACATAATCAAAAGAATAATAAACATCTCATTTTAAATATAAAAATTTTAAAATATAATTAGAATAATCATTAAGTTCTAACAAAATACTTAATTATTATCTCTATAAAAAATTATATTATTAAACAAAAAAATGAATTAAAGAAATACACAAAAAAAGATAAATTTTAAAATTATTTTGGTACTAATATCAATATTTTTTTCAATTTTTTATAACATCGACCGAAACAAAAGAAAAAAATTAAACATTAAAATCGAGATGTATTTCGTTGTATTGTGTAAATATCCTTCTAGTTTAATTRTTATGGGTTTCATGGTCCTTTGATTGAAAAACACTTTTTTATATATATGGCCCCAACCACAAAATTGTTGGAACTAACGGTCGCAATCGGTTTTGACCGTCATTTTTTTTAAGTCAAGTTGCATTAAAAATACTTTATTTAAATTTATTTTTATTTTARGTAATATATTTTCAAAACTTGATTTTTATTTTAAGTAATTAGAATGATTAAAAGACTATTATGATATAGTGAAAAATAAAATATAATTATTTAATAATTGTTTATAATAAAATTAGTACCCTTAATTGTTTGGTAATTGTTTTGTATTTGAATTTTAAAAAAGCTTATCAAGTAGTTTTATGAAATTAAAATGTCAAACTTTCAAAAACTGTACAGATTTTAGTTATACAATTAAAATAGAACCATCTATACTATCTTATCCATACTATCTTATAATGCATTTGGCTAAAACTATTAAACTATTGAACTCTTAAAAACAACTTCTATTGCTTTAGGTACAACCTACCAATGCATATTATCCTAAACCCCCTTACTAAACCCAATCCCATTTTTATCTCCCCTAACCCAATCCCAATTTATCGCCCCTAATCCCAATCGATGAAATCGAATCCCATTTTCCAATCGATGAAATCGTTCAATCCCATTTTTATCGCAACCCTAACCCAATTCGATCAATCGATGAAATCGTTCAATCCCATTTTTATCGCAACCCTAACCCAATTCGATCAATCGATGAAATCGTTCAATCTCATTTTTATCGCAACCCTAACCCAATTCGATGAAATCGTTTAATTCGATTGAGATGATATCGACTCTGCTTATCCTTAAACCCAATCC